CTGCCTAGGTAATCGTATACGTTCTATAAAATTTAAACTGCATAAGACCCGTTTTCATTCGCTGTATATGTGTAAAGGTAGCGATTCGTCCCAATTTAATTTTTCTTGCCACAATCGCTGTAATATTATTTTTATTTTAATAGTAATCGGACCGATTAGACCTAGCGGATCAAAAATTTGTGCGGCAACTGACAATATTGTGCGTTTTGTTACTAGAATCTAGTGCCGTGTGTGTTAACTAGAAAGGGCGTATCTGCAATTTTAGCATAAATCGACTTCGACGTATGTACATGTTGGCAAACCAGTACCCTACTGTTTTGTTAAGACCGAAAGTCGTAATCTCCCACTGTATGATCGTACTGAGCTTAAAAAGAAAGGGCGTATCTACAAAATCGATTAGTGTGTTAATAAGAATAGACGTATCTCTTTGTATTAAGCTATTTGGACGTATCTACATAGTTTGTTAAACTAGACGGGCGTAACTGTATTGCTCTCGAACAGATACGCCTGTCTTTCTTAACATGCGCAGCTTTGCTATTTGAGGTTAAGTCATTCTAATTTTCGTGTAGCATTTAATTTGCGTTTCTAGTAAATGTGAGTGTTTTAAAATGAACCGGTGCCAGAAACTAGTATATTTAGCCCTTAATAAGCAACAAAGAAATAAAATAGATGAACTGAAGGTGACCAAATCAGAGCAGATTAAGCGTAATATTGAAGACCCCGATTTTACACCCAATTCTGATGACGAAAGCAGTATCAGTGGAAGTGATTCCGAAAAATTAGCTTCAGCGTCAACTAATAATGATACGGTTTGCTTGAAATCCAGCACTTCCCGTACTGATGCTAAGATCAATATCCTCAGCAACGTACAACTAGTTGGACCAGATCTAGTGGAACCTAGCACCAGCGAGCTGATTCCAAATTCTAATAGCGATGAACTTGTTGTGGGTCAAGTTATTGAAAAACTTTTGACCGATGTTGAAAAACTCGTAGACCTTTCACTTTGGACTAAAGATGGGAGACCCAGAAAACGCAGAAGATTTTCGAAATCTGTAGAAGAAAGAAAACGCTTGAATAAGAATCGAATTGCCGATGCGCATAAAATAATTAATAGTTGTGGAAATGATTGCGTTAAAAAATGCCAAAAAACATTTTCTTATTCTCATCGCACCTTAATTAATAATGAATTTTGGAATATGAACCACAACGAACAAAAAACTTTCATATTCCATAATGTTTCGCGATCACCTACCAAAAGAACAACAGTACATTCAGCAACTTCATCTCGACGCTTAAATACATTGCAGTATGCCTTCAAAAATGAAAGTGGTCGTAGGGTGGCAGTGTGTAAAACATTCTTTCTTACAACCCTTGGTTTAAAAAAATCTAACGATAAAATGGTGAGAACAGTGTTCGGCAACTTTAATGAAACTGTCATTACTCCTAAACGTGATGGCCGTGGCAAGAATCCAAAAAAGAAGTTTGATAGAGACGTAATCATTAAACATATTGAATCTTTTAACCCAACAATCGCGCATTATCGCCGTGAGCATGCTCCATTGCGTAAGTACTTGCCCAGTGACATAACAATTAAATCTATGTATGATGATTTTATTGAAAAACATCCATCTATAACTTTTTCTTATTATCTTTATCGAGAAGTCGTGGATAGTCTGAACATATCGTTCACTAAACTTGGACACGAAGAATGTTTCACGTGTGAAGTATTTATGCATCATTCAAAAGCGAGTGGACACAAAAAAGAAGATATTTCTGTAACTTGCAAAGACTGTGAAGCGTGGAACACTCACCATACGAACTATACAGCGGCAAGAATGCAATACCAAAAAGACTGCAAAGAAAACGATGTCGTCGTTACAGTTGACTTACAAAAGGTAGAGCTGTAAATTATTGCTTTTTGTGATTTTATTAAATCTTTCCCATTTCCAGGTTATCATGTTGCCGCGATGTGACACTTTTAAAGAAGTGATTTTTGTACCCCGACTTGTGGCGTACAACGAAAGTTTTATCTCAGCTGGACCGAAATCGAAACACTTTGCTGCAGTATGGCATGAAGCTATTCAAGGAAGAAATAAAGAAGACATAGTTAGCTCATTTTACAAATACTTTTTGCACATGCGAGACGCAAAACATGTAATACTATGGCTTGATAACTGCACCGCACAGAACAAGAATTGGTGTCTGTATAGTTTCTTTATATACATTGTTAACTGCGCCGAAGTTGCTGTACAAAAGTTGGAAGTCAAGTACTTCGAATCAGGCCATACTTTTATGGCAGCCGATTCGTTTCACCACGCAGTCGAGAACTCTTTGAGAAAAGCAGGAAAAGTCTACGATTTTAATGATTACGTCACAGCTGTTAAAAATGCATGTAAAGGAGTTTATGTTGAGGAAATGGATGAAAATTCATTTTTTCTGTGGGAGGATCACACATCTCAATACAAACTCAATAAGATAACACCACGACCATATTTAAACGAAATGTCTCATGTAGTTTTTCGAAGAGGCGATCGAACACTCTCATATTCACGTTTTTTTGAAGGAGAGTTCATAAATTTGAATTTTTTGAACCACAAATCCTTTAAAACAGGAATTTCTTTACCTCTACTAAAAGGAGAACCAAGAGGCATATCAAAAATAAGAAAGCAGACTATAATATCTAAACTTGGAGCAATATTTCCTAAAACGAGGTTGGTGTTTTGGGAAAATTTGCCAATCGAAAAAGAACATTCTTCCAAGAACCAAGATGTTGACACTGATTAAGCTTATTTTGTTAAAATGTTATTCTTATGTACTTAATATGCAAATTAATAACACCTGAATAAATTTTTTGAAACTCTTGGAAACAATTTATTTGGCGTAACTACAGAATTTGCTATAACATCTTTAAAGAGAATAGGCGTAAGTATCAAAAGCCATATTCAGGAATGATATATCTGGTACAACATTATAGGAACTGACAGTAGAATATATATGTGTATGATTGACATCATCAACTCCTGCGCAGTTTGAAATACTGCGATGGCATGGAGCCAAATCTTAATACCTCGTTTTCTCACTTTAGTGAAAAACGCAGATACGCCCCTTCTAATTAACAGGGCAGAGATCTTTACCAAAATGAGATAGTGAGTACCCGATCGTATCCGTTTCCGCATTCCACATTAATCCTAAGGTTTTCGTTGCTTTACTGTCTGAAATATAATAATTTCGCGCTTAAATTCAGTTTCGCTGAAAATTGATTTATGGTTGGACGCCCATTGTCTCAATTGAAAACCTGCACCCTCCATGATACACACATAAAAATCATTCATTATCACGTTACTAGCTTCGGGTAAAATGGGTAAGTTCTCTAGACCTAAGTAGTTGTTTTAAGCACCGCATCGCTAAAAAGGACGCTGGGGCGGTACCATAAGTGATCGTATTTAACTGGTAATGTTTTAGTGGTTTTGATGGGTCATCTCGCCAGACAATGCGTTGTAGATCCCGTTGATCGTCCACTACATTGATTTGACGGTACATTTTTTCGATATCTGCGGTAAAAATAACGTTGTGCTTTCGAAATCGAGTAATTATTGAAAAGAGGTCGTCTTGTATGTGCGGTCCTACGCATAATTTGTCGTTTAATGAGTAGCCTGACGTAGATTTGGAGGAAGCGTCGAATAATTTTGTGGTCGCGCTTGATTCCTTAAACACCCCATGGTGAGGTAGATAAACTATAGAACCGTTGTTCTCTTTAATTGGAGGTACTTCGGTCATGTGGTCCAGAGTTTCGTATTCTTTAATAAATTCTTTATAGGACTGCTTAAACTTGTCATCGTGTGCAAATCGCCTTTCCAATGATATAAATCTGCGCGCAGCGTTGTCTAATGAGTTTTTAAAAGTGAAGGATTCATCTCGCATGGGCAAGCGTACTTCGAAACGTCCCGTTGGGTTCCGTCTAAAATGTGCAATAAAATGATTCTCACAAAACAATTCGTTTTTAGTAAGATCGCGTTGATTTTAGCATCCCTCGATCTCCCAGAACCATTCTAATTGTTCCTGTACGCGTTGATCGATTGAATGCAATACGGTAGTTTCCGATTGCGCTTGAGCTACTGAACCCGCAAAAATCCACCCTAACCGCGTTTTCTGAAAGATTACATTATCGTGATTGCTGATTTTTATTTGGCCTATACATAAAAGATTCCAAAATATCCCAGCACCTAATAACGCATCGACCTTAGTCGATATATTAAATTCCGAGTCGGCAAGATCCACAATATTGGGAATTTTCATGTTACAAATGTCAATATTATTGGCCGCGACATTGCCAGTTATATCCCTTAATACTAAGAATGATAGTTCCTGATTATAGCTGTTATGCGTCGAGCCTATTTTCGTGGTAATTTGCGTTGTGAGTTTGGTTGACGAATTGCTGGTTCCCGCTACTCTTGGAATTTGTGTTTTGATTTGATTAATTAATTAAAAATTGGTGTTTGATTTCTGGGAATTTCCTCTGATTAATTTGATTCGCGGCTCGATTAATTTAATTCGCGTTCCAATTAATTTAATTCGCGGCCTTAAACTGCTCTCATTATGACATTTGACGCTTTTTTGACAATTTTGTGTGAAACGTCCCGCTGAATCTTTCGTACCATACTTCACGCTGTTTACACTAACCTAGCTTTTAACCTTGGAGTTTCTTTGTGTTTATACCGGTCCATGCGTTTAAAATTTTTATTAACCCTATTATAATCGTTTGTGTATCATTAAAATTAGTGTTTATTGTGTATATTAAGTAGTTTGTAGTATATTTAGTGCATAGTGAAAGTTAAAATGAACAAGGGGCAAAATACTAGATTACGTTTCAGACGAATTGGTTTTTTTTAAGAGAATTCATTAACGTAAATCCCACCGTTAATCCTGGTGGATGGGAAATAATACAGCAGCACGTGGCCATAACTACCGGAAAAAACTTTTTAATCAAAACTTTAAAAAAACATTTATTATTACTATTGGAGATATTTCTGAGGAACATAGAAGTAAACGAAGTTCGGTAAGTAGTATACTTTGTTACTTACTGAAAGCTAATGAAAAGTAGCTGTTAATAGTTAATAAGGATTACACGAGTTATTATTAAACAATTTTATTTATGCTTAGATCTGGAATTGAAGAACCACCATGTGAAAGAAATGCGTTGCTACATGAAATCAACAGTATCTGCGAAGAAAATAATTATAATTTAAGAGAAACCGGAAAGCGAACTCCATCGAAGGGAGCACAGTTAACGGAGTTAGCCAAAAAAATAAGAGATGAATGTGCAGCATCATTTAGTGCAGAAAACCAAGTTTTTCAATGTGGAGAGGATGTACTCGCTTCCAACGATCAACTGCCTTTCGTGGATCATAATTATGGTAATGATGTGTGATGGAATGTTGTATAGTCCCCGATCATTTATTGATTTATGAAATGGCTTTTAAAAATATTGAACACCTTTTTAAATATGTTTGTTACCTAAAGCCAGGTATTCATTGACATGCTTAATTGTAACACTGTTGGTTAACATAACTAAAATTCATTGATGTGGATTCATATGGAATTCCGCCCAAGATAGTACCTAGAGCGATCTGATACTTTTCGGTTTTTACCTGAAATACAAAGATATTTGCAGTTGGTGTTTGATGAGAACGTGGGTACCTATACGTTTATACTGAAAAGTGTTACATTAACCGTTGCGGTTACAGTGCGACTTACCATTTAATACCCGGCTTTAACTAACACTTAGAGCCGGTTTTACAATTACACTTTTACTCAGAATAAGATATTCTTGGAATAACTGTCATAGCAACATGTGTTCCATTGGTTGACACAATGGTAACCAACGCAACCGTCGACATTTATTCGAGGTATAGCTTATTCTCGGTATATACCTGCATTGTAGAATCGGCCCTTAATCTTAATGGTAATTATTGGGCGACAAAAAAAGAGCTAAGATCAAGTCGCTCTTGGTAGTTCAAGTTAAAAATGATTTCCCATGTTAATAAACAAAAATTTCAAGGATGAATCGATTCTTTTTTGATCGCATAGTACTTGTACACAGCTTACATCAAATTTGATTTTAATCTAGGAACTGTGGCCCAAACCATTACAATTGCGGGTGATGATTTACAAGAAATTGATGAAAATATTCCACCCAACAGTGAGGCAATGGAAAAACCACAATCACTACGAGGAACGGCACAGACTTCGAACCAGGAAACATCATCAGTTTCAAAAAATAAACAAATTATAGGTAAGTAACTGAAAAATGACCACCTGTATAACTTAAACCTGATTTATTTTAATTTAAGGACCTACTAGAAGAAGATTGAACAAAGCCCAACCTTTACGAAAAAATGCCTTGGGGTATCTCACAGAAAAAAACGAAAAGGAGTATATTTTAAAAACAAAAGAATTGGAATTGCAGCACCGAAAAATTGCTGTAGAGGAGCGCAAAGTGGCAGTGGAAGAAAGAAAGCTGGAGATCGAAGAACGAAAAATTCTATTGGAAAATAAAAGGCTGGACTTCGATCACCAGGAACGCATGGAAAGGCTGGAAATAGAAAAAAATAACTATAAAATAGAGTTAGAACAAAAAAAAATTACGAATCAATTACTTGTATCTCAACAAAATCTTATTGATAATCTCTTAAAGAAATAAAGCAAAAGTGTTTTAATTAATATTTTAATTTGGTATACCAAAGTACTCATTAAGAGTCGGTGGTACAGTTTGAAAATAAATCGCAGTTTGACTACCATACAAACATGTATGGCAGTTAGTAAGCAATACTGCTACTTTTACATAGCTGTGGAATCATGGGCACGCTACACTCCCCGAATGCTGCAGCAAAAAAAATAAGAAATTAATAACTAAAAAGAAGCTTGCACCAAAGGATGCCGAGGCAAGAACATTATATTTACTTAAACAGCAATATTTTGACCAGAAATTGACAAACTTAAAAAATGCAGATAGTAGAAAAGAGGAAGAACACCAGAAAAAAATTGAACTTCTCAATTTAGAAATATTACACAAAACTCAAAGAATAGAATAATTTACTTTTATGTTTACCTACTACTACTAATTTTTTACTTTGTTCTTTTTTTAATAAAACTTATAAATTAAAATTCTCATTTATAAAAAGTAAGCGAGCGTTTCTGTCAATAATGTTATCATGCTCATTTGGATTGGGCAATATCTGAACATTGTCCTCCACTACTGCGTCTAGTGGTTTTTCATCGATTGGTTCGTTCATTTCAACTGCCATGTTGTGGAGGACTGCTGTTGCAATAATGATTGACATTGCAGTATCCGAAGCGACCAAATGTGCCATTCTCAAAATCTCGTTTTAGTCTACTGTTGTTGAATATTGTCTGATCGTGGCAACTTCCAGGCCACCGAGCCACTATATTGCGAATTTTTAGAAATGCATCAGATACTGTTTGAACATTCAGTGAGAAGTAACCTTTACGATTACGAAACACCTCTGCGTCATCACCCCCTAAAAGAATTGCATTATTCTATCAAATAAAATTATTGCCTGGAGATAAGATTCGAATATGTGTGCAATCTATGGAACCACAGCATCTAGGGAATCGAGAAATTCTATAAAAATTCCGTGCAGTAGCTTCTAAGTCTTGTCGAGCCACTGGCATTTGTATAAATTCTTATTTTAAGGATGCAATGGCATGAGTGACAGTTTTAACTATCCTGCTAGCTGATGCTACGGAAATGCCCACAAAATCTCCCACCGATTGTAATATATTCCCTGTTGCATAGAATCTTAGTGTTAATAATAATTTCGTTTCTCCGTTAATGGCCCCTCCTCTGCAATTTGTACATTTACAATTACGAATGTACAATATGAATATTACATACCTATTAGATGGCGATTCTATTGCCTCTCTAATATAATTCAATAAATGACTGGCAACGGCTTTGCTTAATCTAAATCTAAAATGTGAAAGTTTATAGTAACTTTCATTCATAAAAAGTGAAGTAAACTTATATAGGTAAGCTTACAGATACAAATGACCGACCAAGTGATATATAAGTTTCCTAGAAACAATTAACGATAAGTTCACATCTGGCTATTTTATTTGATTTTTTGTATCATTGGTATTAAATTACTTGAAGCGCGATTTTAGGGGAAAATTTTACATAGGCGATAGCAACTTACGTAGAATGTTGAAAGAATGTGTTGGTGCGACGATCGTCGCACACGTAAGGGTAGTTTGTGCTCTGAGCTGTGCGTCGGGGGCCAAACTTTTCGGCAGCTGAAAAGAAAAATCAAATTTGGAGCCAATCAAAATTCAAAATGGTCCATTGCCATTGAAAATTATATTATATTATAATCATGATCGGTTGCAATGATATTTTTAAAGGAGGAAAGGCGGAAAAAATGTTACGAGAATTGAAGTGGCTGGTACGAATGCTTCATAAACGGCGTGCAAAAAAACCTCTGCAAAGTTTGTATTCAAGAATTCGAATAAAAAAAAATTAGGCTTATTGCTTTGCGCATTAGATGGCGTGTAAGGTGCCTGATAGGAATCAATTATAAATGACTGGCACCGATGGTATATACTTGCAATATTTTTTGACAAACTGCTCAAATTTGTCTAATTTATTAGTATATTGATAAGAAATAAGTTAACGGTTGGACTATAATTTTTCGTCGACAACATGTGACCAAGAAGTACAATAAGTTTCTATATTGCGAATTTTTAGAAAATCAGATACTGTTTGAACATTCGTATTCACATCTGTCATTAAGATTCGATTCTTTCTAGGGAATCGAGAAATTCTATAAGTTTCTAAGTCTTTCGAAATTTGTTAAATTCTTGCAATGGCATGAGTGACAGTTTTAACTATAGCTGATGCTACGGAAATGGGAAATTTTTACATGTACAATATGAATTATATATTGCCAACTTAAACGTTCATTGAGAATGTGAGGTTGCGTTTTCTAAACGTAACAGCGTGTGTTCTCTGTGCGTCTGTTAACTCGGCAGCTGGAACAAATTTGGAGCCAATCATTATTCAAAATGAAAAATTGCCATTGAAAATTATATTATATTATAATCATGATCGGTTGCAATGATATTTTTAAAGGAGGAAAGGCGGAAAAAATGTTACGAGAATTGAAGTGGCTGGTACGAATGCTTCATAAACGGCGTGCAAAAAAACCTTTTAGTCCAAGAGCCCAGTAGGAAAGTATACCTTGAACGCCCGGACGATTCTAATAATTTTCATAGGATTCGCCATAAAAAGTTGCATTAGAATCGACAACGGTGCCGGCGAAAATCCTGCCGAAAGCAGTTAAAAAAAAATTAAATTCGCCCCTTATTTTTGAAAAATATACTTTATTGTCCCGGATGTTCAGGAAGAGTACTAAAGAGTGCATATGGATGAGTTTTATCGGAAAAAGTCACGGTGCCGGGGCGCAACTTGCCGCAACCCTTGGCACCGCGACTACAAATGGGGTGGTAAATCGTACTAAACTACCTTTTTCTCCCGGACCAAAATGACCTATATGAAATATGTAGCTTGCGATTATACGAATATAAAAAACCAACGGTGCCGACTCTCAGGATGCCGGAAGTCCTGGGCACCGTCGACCGAATCCGAGCGCGCGCGAGCTTATTGACAGTGCGAAAATTGAAAAATTGCAAGAATTCACGTCACTTACCTATGCATTCGGTGAAAAAATGTAACACCGTGGATACCGCGAGATCAAATATATTCCACAAAATTTTCTCGACGAGAAAAGATTCTGAGAAACTCGTTAAGAAAATCAGAGGATTTGATTCGTGTACGATTCCGCCTTGTTTCAAATCATTAAAACAAAAGATTCTCCGAACGATTTTTGTTACTGCTATATGGAAAAATGCGGCAGAAAACGAAATGAGGCTGGGAAATGAAAGATATTTTAGAACCCTTTTGGTTCGAGGGCGATTCTACTTCTTTGAGCGTCGATTCTGATTCTGATTGAATTACAATAAAATGATTTCAAAAAAGCATTTGTGACACAAGAATCATTGCGAGTCAACTTCGATCATTTCTACCTTTTTTGGGTTGCTTTTAGGCATAAACACACAAGTCAAGTGTTTTACTTTTCAAAAAATTAATGTTTAAGAATTAAAAACGATTTTGCCGGTTCTTTTTTTGTTTTTTTTTTAACAAAAAAGTGGTTCAGCCTATAAAAGAATGATTCTCTAAGTGATCGAAATAACGGCATAAGTCTGTTTGTAATGATTCGAATCTGTCTCGTCAAAAGTTTGAGAAAATGGACATAAAATCGTTTTTCTCGCAGTCACAAAAGTGATCAGATACGAAAAGAAGGCTCTTGCGCGCCCCCGGATTTCTTATAATTTGTCTACTCTTAAGCTACATTTTTCATTAAGGACTTTTTGGTCCGGAAAAACAAGCTGGATTATTACAATTTACCGCCTCTTTTATTGGCGCAGTGCCAATAGGCTCGCGCGCGCCCGGATTCCATCGACGGTGCCGAGGACTTCCGGCATCCTGAGAGTCGGCACCGTTGGTTTTTTATATTCGTATAATCGCAAGCTACATATTTCATATAGGTAATTTTGGTCCGGAGAAAAAGGTAGTTTAGTACGATTTACCACCCCATTTGTAGTCGCGGTGCCAAGGGTTGCGGCAAGTTGCGCCCCGGCACCGTGACTTTTTTCGATAAAACTCATCCATATGCACCCTTCAGTACTCTTCCTGAACGTCCGGGATAATAAAGTACATTTTCCAAAAATAAGGGGCGAATTTAATTTTTTTTAAACTGCTTTCGGCAGGATTTTCGCCGGCACCGTTGTCAATTCTAATGGGCGCGAATTCAAGGTATACTTTTTTTTTTTACTGCTTTCGGCAGGATTTTCGCCGGCACCGTTGTCGATTCTAATGCAACTTTTTATGGCGAATCCTATGAAAATTATTAGAATCGTCCGGGCGTTCAAGGTATACTTTCCTACTGGGCTCTTGGACTATTTTTTTATTTGCACTTGGCCGCCGATTGTCAGGGCCAATGAAAGGCAACGACATTCAATTAAATTTATTTAAGCAGGGTATTGTCGACATGTGTGGTGATAATCCTGGCGAAATAAATTTAATTGATGTCAATGCACACTTTCGTGGCCTTTTAGGAGAACGAGTATACGAACGGTAGGTACACACTGCTTTTATTGATTAATTTATATAGGTTTCTTTTTGCAGAGATAATTTACATCCTAATTTGCTGAGGTTAAAAATTATTTATAATTTAATAAAGGCCAAATTCCATTAAAACGTGTAAGTTGTTTTATTTCTTTACATGGCATTAAAATCGTCGATGTGCCTTTGAAATTGACTAATATACACATTTGAAGCGTATTTGTTTAATAGATTCGGAGTACACAAAAAGAATTTAAAATTAATTCAATGGTAGGTATTATTAATATTTAGGTACTAGGACGGTACGTATAGTGGAAAACGATTCTTCGATTGTAATCTAGAAGACGTGTGTTCCAACTAGGGTTCGAACCCTTCGAGCGGGCGTTTCTTTTTAATTATTAGATCCCGACAAAGAGAGGGTAGTGAAAGATTGTAAAGAGAGAGAGAGAGGGAGAAACAGTCGCTTCTGTCGGCACTCGGCACTTACCAAGAGCTATTTTCGAATTATTTTTAAACAAAGTAATCCAAAAGATAGCGTATGTTGTATCTACATTATGTAAGAAAGGGTCACTTTACTTTTGTGTGTTTGATTTATAAATAAAACACCCCTTTATTTATGTTTGATTATAGCTTGAAGTGTGTCTAGATAGGTAAGTCAGTCTCTAGCCTATTTTTTATTTACTGTTAAATTTATTTTACGTGAAATCAGTGGAAGTTTGCGGTAAACAATTGTAACTTAGCATGTTTAGTAGGTTATATTTTAAATATATAGCATTACAAGAGATACTTTGTATATTACTTGATTTTGTAACCTTTTAGTAAAGTTGAAAATGTAAATCAGCAGATAATAGCTATCAAAAGTTTCAAAAACCGTTCTAGTGTGAATAATATTTAAATTTTTTGTAACTTTGTAGCAACCTATAACTTTTCAATGGTAACTTGCAGGATAGTTGGGATTGTCAGCTTTACAAATGAAATTTAAATGAGCAGATTCGCTATTTACAGCCAAGTTGCAGAACATTTGCTGCAATTTTGCTTTGCTTAGTGGGTATGTACCTCCCGTTAAGAAGGGAGACTCTAGGGATAACAAAGCAGGCGTAGCCCGCGGAAAACTCGTAGACAAATTTCGAAATAAGCCACATTTTTACGTGAAGCCGGGGTGTTGCCCACGAAAACTCAGAAAAATGAAAAAGAAAATATAGAACCGACAAATTCAAATTTAGGTAACATATATTTCTGTTGTTTATCTATTTATTTCTGTAATTTATAGATGAGACAGTGCAGAACAGCCTTCTATGGCTCGAACATAATAGACATCCTTTGGAGGAGGTGTACAAAAATTGGGACATAACATTTACTTATCGATGACAACAGACTCTAACAAAAGGAATTAACAGCAAGGAATTTTTGACGCGATATCCTATTTTAAAACTGCCACTATGTTGTACGCTAGTAAGTATTATTTGCACAGTTGATTTTGCAATGTTCCGAATTTATTTTTATCAATAAATATTTAATGATGTATTTTATTTAGATGGACGGAGATTTTGAGAGAATTTACCCTAATGTGCAGGATATTTTCAAATTGGAATACCGTTATAACCAACATAATAAAATTAATAAGGAACCTTGTAACGACAGACAGTGACAGGATTTTAATAGAGCTTTTGGAATCACAAAATTCAAGCGAAAATCTTAACAAAGGTGTTATGGACAAAACCCCACCATCCTATTTATAATGCTAATAGAGGGTAGTTCTTGACACAGTTCTAGAGAACATGTGTGACAAGTGTCCGTTCACGACACACATGTTGTAAATATGTGTACATTGTGTAATCCATTATAGTGTAATAAATAAAATATTGTAACGTTATTTATAAATTCGGGTTCGATTTATATCAATATTTATTAAACAAAATTAAAACACTATAAAATCCGTACAATTTATATCGATTATTTATATCACTCACACTTCGCAATTTATATTTCCACGCTCGATGTTTACGTACTCGTTCGGTAGTAGACTGCCGCGATGTTCGGTCCGCAACCATTTATACACGCAAGCAATGTAAGTCCAGTACATTCTCGAATAGTCCTACAGAATCCCACAATCGCGCGCGTAGAAAATTCCAGAGCGCCAAAGGCGACGTCATGTCTGGAGCATTTCCGTTACAATATTATAAAACTACAGCCCACTAATTTAGAAGAGCAGAACCGCAACATTTGGTCATTCGATCTACCGGATTAAGAAAGGAAGCATTTACGTATTTACGTGTTACATTAGACGGGGACGCCGAAAATTTACCTACGTGTAGAGCGATTCGAGTTAAGGGCATCGCAGTCAGTCAATCAATTATTGTTTTGGAGGCCTGTCACTGCACGCAGTACAAGACAACTTTACTGGTCGACTACATTCCAGAAAGTGAGTTCCCATTTATTTTATACTACTTCCTTTCAAATTACCATCTGTTGGCAATATTATCCATTAAACAAAAATGGATCCTAAACAGTTGAAATTGTTAAAAGACAAAAGACACCAATCAAAACTGTATTTGAGTAGAATAGAAACCTTTAGTGTAGAAAGTCAAAATGTGGAAATTACGGATCTTGTTTACGAACAATTTTTAGCGCGTAAAGATGTTAGAAACTCATTTTGAAAAGTACATAAAGCTTATTAAATTTCCTAAAACTTTACTTATTATCAATTTAAGCCTGTTTCTAACAGTTTAAGAAATATTCGCTGTCAAAGATCTCTTTTTTTGTAAAACGTTATTTTACACCATGTATTTCGACAAACTTTGTCTTGTAACACCTAAGGTATAGTGTTTATGGCTTAACAATCCTAAATAAAAGTTATAGAGCATTAAAAAAAACGTGTATTATTGTTATTTTAGATACCTAATGATGCAGGTAGGTAGTTTAATGCATATGTGGCAGGTTGCAGGTTCTGGGTAGGATTTGTGCTAGTCACAGCAAATTTGTTTATACTCCTTTTAATCAGGAGACAGTATAAAACAGTCACTGAACATAAACTTTACCACGACTCCATCATCAGTGTCAAACAAGATCATTTTCTCGCATCAATTGAATCAAATAAATCTCGCATGATTTCCATTCTAGCATCTTAAAATCACACGCTTTGTGCGGTTTTTCAAACTTCACATGCTTACTTCAATTTATGACTTCCGTGTTCTTTATGTTTTCGCTTGTCACCCTAATTTTTAAGTTATATGATACGTGACTAGGCAAAGGAGCCGCTTGCATGCGGTCCTTTGCGCTAATATTGCAGCCCATATGGTTGCAATAAATGTTCTTAGTTTTAGGGTGTTAATTAGTCCAATTTTAAGTTCTCAAGCAGTCACATTTCGTCTACAATCGAAGTAGGTCGACTCAAAACAGTAGTGCTCAATTTGTATTAAAGGGTGTTGTAAATAATGTATATATTTGTGAATTAAATAGTACCTGTAAGGTTCTGTGTAAATGAATATATACAACAAAAGTTTTAGCTCGCGAACCAGCTACCAGAGCTATCGATTCCAAGTTCCTATCGGAACTTTTCATTTATCCAAAATAAATGCTATTAATTGAAAATAGGTTAGCTGCGTCGGCTTACAGGAAGATCAATGCAAACAATTTAATGGAAATAGGAGATCGGGAACCTAGCACTTTATATAGTAGCACTGTATTAAGGAAAGCAAAATATGAACATCGGAAACAAAAACGGCTTGCCGACTACGAACTGCAGGCTGCATACAAACTGAAGTATCGAAGCCCGTTTAATAATTACTAATGTTAGGCCCCCTCGCACCCACACACAAACACGTGGTACGCCAAGTGCGCCACCCCACGCCAAACGTAGCAACCCCGCTAAAGTAACAGGTGCACGCGCACCTGTTCCTACCCCATCTACAGGCGCCCCCGCACGCGCTACAAGAAGCGGCCGACAGGGAGCACTGTAAGGAACGCCGACCCTTACAACACTAGCCACCCCAGTATAACCGTCATCGAGAAACTTCTCATCGGCAAGAAGAGCAACGGGTTACTACTCCTTAACTAACACCCGGGTCTCTGCCTTCATAAGCCGTCGACGTTGTACATCTTTCCGTAAGATTGCCACGGTAACGATTGGTAGCAAGGGAGAGACTGCCTCCTCAGACGTGATCGCGGTATCGTGTGCTTCTTTGTGTTTTCCGAACTTGTAAACTTCTTTAGTGTTATAAGGTGTATATGTATATTTCATTAGTGTTAAGTAGTGTTACGTGTATACAGGGTGACAATTTGAAAACTTACCACCCCTCATATCTTAGTAAATAAACGAGATATTTAAAAAAATCAAAATCCGTTTCGGTAATTCGGAGGGGGAATAACAATGACATAGTTGGCGACGCACCCCCTCCAACCCCCTGCGCCCCAGCCACCCCAACTTTTAAATCTTAAATAGTGACCCCCCATGTGTGATACGTCGTTGGAAAGCTCTGAAAAATGCTTTCCAACCATACCAAATAGCATTACATTTAGGTTAGTAATTATCGTGCAAATCAAAAAATAAACATGGAAAATCGTATTTAACTTGAACTTCCAAAGCCGACTCGACAGCAACTCATTTTTGATCGCCAGTTATAATCTATTCTCAAACTCTTGTCGAACCTTTCCAATGTTGGTTTTGCAATATTTCGACATTCTTGAATTATTCTCTGTCTTAGTTCGTCTATGTTCGCCGGTTGCGTTTTAAATACGACAGATTTCAAATGTATCATATTAGTTTATTTTTTGATTTGCACGATAATTACTAACCTAAATGTAATGCTATTTGGTATGGTTGGAAAGCATTTTTTCAGAGCTTTCCAACAACGTATCACACATGGGGGGTCACTATTTAAGATTTAAAAGTTGGGGTGGCTGGGGCGCAGGGGGTTGGAGGGGGTGCGTCGCCAACTATGTCATTGTGATTCCCCCTCCAAATTACCGAAACGGATTTTGATTTTTTTAAATATCTCGTTTATTTACTAAGATATGGGGGGTGGTAAGTTTTCAAATTGTCACCCTGTATAATAAAACTCTAACCGCTAGCCTAATACGAATCATCAACCACCAACCCAACCCCACCAACACTTAAAAGATATCGGACTGGACCGATTCTTTGTCCATTACTGGTCCACAACCCAAATCCATGTCTACAATAAATATACAGAATTAACTTTACTCAAAATTAAGTATAGATGTCACAGGAAAGTTAGTACGGCCAATTATGAATCCGAATGGTCAAAAATCAAGAACACACTGAGCGAAAGGTATTGTTTAAATTTAACAAATCAATTTGTTTAGGCCGCATTTATTTATCGTTACCTACCGTTTTTAATTTTTAAGATCTATTTTCTATTATATTATCGTTTATTAAACAATAAGATAGCAATTCTTTATTATATAGAAAATCATATAGTATCTGTCTGTATTTTAGATATTAATATACTGGCATAGTATTAAACAAGTCACCTTTAGCATTACCGCTTACAAGTCTAAAGTGGCATGACACTTTCTAACAATAAAGATTGCTGAACTTATTACTTTACACTTATAAAGTAGGTACTGCATACAGCAAAGTTGAGGTGTTGACATCTTGTCTTATTTTTCATTTTGATTTCGAGCGTACTGCGTAGCTACCTCATTGAATTAGTCATTAGTGCGGCTACAGGGGTGATATTATAAAACAGTAAAGTGCAGTGTGAATGTGATTACATTTGTTTCCCGAAATCCAACAAATCACATCTGTACTGTTTCAATTTTACGTTAGAAATATGGACAGGAATCTAGCCAAAATTATTGAGGCGGGTTTAGCGCAAGTGTTTGTAGGTAAGTGAGTACCCATATTATAGTTCCTAAAGTAGTGTAGTAGTACTTTTTTGCATCGGATTGATTAATAATAATTAATAATGATGGTACCTACGCCATCATTCCTACCAGAAAACACAAACATGTATTCCTCATGAAATACATACTCTGAATTAATGGATTTTTGGATGGGTCACATTTTAAATGATTGTTTTGTCCTTTCAGCTCATGGGATAACATCAGATATTCTTCCAGAATTATTGAAGAGAGAAAATATAAAATAAATCATTCTGGACGAGATTCCGAAGTCAGGGCTTTGATTATACAGTTAGTGTGTATAATCAATGGTTAGGGGAAAGGATTATTTTTAGTCGAAAGTTAAAGCAATAGTTGCAACGAAATAAACCACCCAGTAACATTGAGCAAGTTGAAATTTAACCTTTCCCTTTAGTAACGAGCTTTTAGAGAGTTCATAATTTTGTGGTGTCCGTCTGTCTATCCGTTAGCACGTAATCTCGAAAACGAATGGGCCAATTCGATACAATTTTGCAGGTGGACTCTTTTTAACAAATTTTTAGATCTAAGTTCGTGAATTGGTAGTATAGGCCAAAAAATAAGGAAAGGTCTTTTGACATCTCCGTTAGTTATGAACCATGAAATTCAAAATAAGCATAGCTTTAGCCATACTTAGGAGCTACTTTGCTATATTGTTTTAATTCTTTACGTTTTGGTTTGCCAAAAAACAGTTTTTGGTTGTTTAACTTGGGAAATAAATAGGCAAATTTTGTTTTTGGTAGTTAATGTTGTCTTGGTATACGAGTTCATTGAAAATTACATCCTCATTTTATTTTTATAAATTGGGAAAACAAAAAACACAATGGATGAAACCCATAGAATTTTATTAAAAGATCGCGTACCGAATTGAGCATCCCTTTTTGAAGTTGAGTCGTTTAAATTTAATGGAGTGAATTTCACAATTGGTTCCGCGTTGATACTTCCAGAGGATGACAGTGAATTACCTGTATAGTTGGGATTGTAAAGTATATTTTCTACAGAAGATAAAGGTGTGTTTTTATTTTGTAATGTTATTACTGATATTACTATACATCTGATAGGTGTGGTTATATATTGAACACGTTCTCCAATAACTTTAAATTTTAACGTTCAACATACATTTGGTTGCTGGTGGGTAATATGTGTTATTAAAGTAGAATAAATGATTATTTTTCTTTTTATTAGTAGTAAAATAACAAGTAGTTAATTATCGTTTATTAACGCAGTTACGTATTTTTAGCACATTTAAGATTATCTACAGGATTTTTAAAAAATAAAGTTATTGATTTGGATTCTTTGTTGTTAATATTATTTAATTTACATCCCGTTTAATCCCATCAAATATTTATTAAAATTTAATAAATATTTTGTACCCATGAAGTGCATAATATTTAAATCACTTCGTGATTAGTAAAGAAATTGTGGTAAGTATCATTTATACCGGAATCAATACAAAACGTTTCTTAATAATAAAATACCTTTAGATCTCTATTATCAACATATTCCATTATCATTATTAAACAAAATTTAATACCAATTTTACCTTCTTTAATAGCTAGTAAATATCAAATTTATAGTTATTATACCACATTAGTATCAAACAGTTTGAGACTTAGGCTATAACAATTGTATGTTAACAGTTATATAGCGTAAGTGGCATAGGGGTTTTCTGCAGGTGTTCATACAAAGACGTCTATTGATTCCCAGAAATTGTCATCTGTCGTTCTCTCACTTATTAACACGTTTCGTCCTTAGTTTCTCGCTAACGACATCGAGACTTCTTTAATATATAGGTTCAAATTTGTCCCGTAATTATTAGTTAACGTCAAGCGCGCACATAATGATGCCATCACGCTCAAAACTTTCTATTAAAAAAAATCGGGTCGCGAGCTTAAAATCAACATTTTAAACCAAACTTGTATTAAACCACCACCACCAATGTACAATAACTTCAAGGTGGAACCGGGGAAAACAAACGTGGTAAACAAAGCGGTGGTGAATTCGTGCCAAATGGATTCGGCTTCCCAAATATTGATCGACGACACTTTAAGTGTCATCACAATCAATTCTGATGATCTAACGATTGCGTAAGTATACAAAAAATTTTATATTTGATATTTTTGTGTATGTACGTTAAAAAAGTAATTGTTTTTCTTTGTTTTTTTACAGAACAGGAAATTTGGGTGACAATTTTGAGCTAGACACGCTCATGGCACAGCTGGAAGGGAATCCTGCTGCAGACTTTCTTTTTGCTTCAGCTCGGTGAGTATGTTATCTTACAATTTAAAAAAAATGAACTAATGTTTCATGCGATAGCTGTAATTTTTTTCTTCGCCCTTTTTCAGGATAATCTCAACACCCCAACTATCTGAGCCGATGCGATCCCCTACACCGCCGCCACCACCAATAGAACCATCAATCGAAACAATGGAGCCCTCAGTCATAAATAAAAAAGGCCAAAAATGACCGTAAGTTTTTACCAACAAAAAACGAATTTCACATAGTAACATTCTATCGATTACAGACATGGCTACGACAAAGCAGGGATGGCTCAGGGAGTGGCCACAAAAAATCTCAATCTTATTCAGATTGACCTGGGAGAAAGGGAATTCCGCCCGGAAAGAGGCTGGAGAAAGAGGTGCAATTCATTGAAGGTTTCTTAAAATTTGTAAAAAAAAATAACAGGTACTTGTATTTGTCAATGAATAAAGAGATAATCTGTTTATTTGTTGTGTGTGTGTGTAAACGACGTTAGCCAGGTAAATAGTTGGGGGAGTGGAAAACAACCAAAAACAAACTGTGCAGCCGCCAAAAAATGGACGGATGCATGTTCTAATCAAAAGGTCCTTATAGTAGTGCGTACTAAGTTGCATATCAAGAACGTACGTGAATGAAAACACAATGAAGTTAATATAAGGGAGATTTTTCAGGCTAAGTTTTTTTTATAAGCACGGGCGTTGAGTGTTCGTTATTCAATGGGCACGGCTCATTGTCTTACGGCAATGCGTACTAAGTTGCATATAAGGAAGATTTTCGGTCCTTTTTTTAGTACGCCAAAGTGCGTTTATTGGCAATAGGCAACAAAACATAATAAGATCAACATGAAGATATCTTTTATTCCTTTTTACGGTATGCCTACAATAATACAAATTAAGTACGCATAGAACATATACGAGCATTTGCGTGTGAGCGAGAAAATTTAATTGCAGATTTTTCTTTGTATGTAGTCGTAGTCTACTTAATTTGCGCTGCACTTCAAACACCTCCAGGACCCACTTGAATTTTTTAATTCTCCTTAACAAATCGTCTATGCGTATTTTTCTTCGATGGATCTTCTGCAATCATCATTACTTTTGTCATTTTCTCTGATGCCGGTATAGAAATGACTTGTAAAACGTTCACTCGTGTCCTTTATACTTGACTTTAGTGAAGAAATGAACCCACGAATTAGCAACACTCATGACCATCAGGAAACGGTTCAATCACATACAAAACTCGGACACAAACCAACGCAAGTTTAAAAGGAAGCAGTTTAGTTCAGAAACACACCCCTAGCAATGATTCTAACCTCTTACAAATCTAGTGACCGTAGTTACCGTGACCCCGAAATCGATAATCAATCAATAACACAAGAGCATGAGGTGAATAACCTTTAGCGATGAGTAACCGAAATCGATAATCAATCAACACGAACAATACCCATGAGGCGAATCCACTATATGAGAATAGCAGAGTTTCAAACCTAGTTACCTTCGCACATCTAGTGATTTTTTGAGTTTGAATCGGTTCTATATCACTAGCAGAGTTTCAAACCTCTCTAGTGACGCAGAGTTTCAAACCTAGTAGTTACTTTTCTAGTGACTGTTAGCAGAGTTTTAAACCTCTAGTGACCGTGGAGTGGCAGAGTGTCAAGCCTAGTTACCTTTCTAGTGACTTCTTTTCACATCTAGTTACTTTTGAGTTAGAATCAGCCTTATATCACTATTGTGAACACTCAAAAAACCGCTAAACAGTTTTTAATGGAATTTTATTTTAGGCTTTTAATAACTAGGTACAATTCAACTTGAAGTGCTGGCCATTCCGTGTTCGGATGCGATGTTAAAAAGTTATGCCATCATCACGAAATTTTTAAGAGCACATATTTTTTTACTTAGAGTAAGTATCTTCTACTTAACTTAAGAGCATTACTTTATAATTGGAAATTACCGTTCGCGTATGTTAGCTGGACCTGCGAAAACAAAAAAAATATGGAAAACACTCTTAAATAAGTAATCGCTCATTTAAGCCCAGAGCACTAATATGTGACCAAGCCCCGGACAACCGACCAACATTCGTAAAAATGAGCAGCACAAGAGAAAGTCCTTTTTTTATGTCTGCAGTAACAAAATTTTTACATATTTTCATACACCCCATTTCATAAAATGCCTACGAAGCAAGTTTATCAATCCCAAACCATTTTTTGTTAATAACAACAAAATGACATGACAAAGCGTTGTAATCGCTTATCATGAAGATCAAAAACGTGTTACTACTTGAACGATGACAAAAATAACATCATTCCACATAAAAGAAAGGGGCGGCCTTTCGAGAGGATAAGAGTTGGGTACAGCACCCACATATTTAGTCGAATCTGTAGCCACTTTGTATTCAAACCATGAATACGATCAACTATAGGGGTAGCCTAATTTAGCGAAATAATAGTAAATATTTAGGTGATTCTAATTTAAACGGAGGCCCATTTCTATTTACAATCATGCGCCAATACAAAATGTCACATGTGGTAAAGAATTGTTTCAAAACATATGTAAGTGTCTTTGAAGAAGAGAGGAAAACATATACCGCATTGAACGTTTCCAGACAGGACAGGATTGAAGATTGAAACCACATCGATTTTTGGAAAAATGTAAAAATTTCTGTATGAAAGTGTTTATTATCGTGGAACACACCAGGATACCGATTCCCGAACTCATGAGAAAGGAAGGGCTCTCTTAATAGAACAGGAACAATCACATTCATTCTCCTACCCAATAAAATTCATATTCACGAACTTGAATTGTTCTCATCCTATGTTGCCATACTGCAAGAGTTCATTTTGACTACTTTACGGGTAGGTAGGCACAGTAGTTTGATATATGTTGCAGGAAAAAGGTTATGTTAGGTTATTTCTTACTCCAGTGTTATTTAATTGTTTTGCGTTCTTTTTATATAAATAATAAAATATGGAAAATCGTTGTTCAGCTCCTTTTAATAAACTCCAAAATCAGAATGAAGCAAACCCCATTGTTAGCTCCACATATAAAGAGAAAGTTACTTTTTACTTAAGCAATAACAGCCTAAATAACCCCAAATTAAACTAACGAATGAAAAAGTAACAGCTTACTTGAGAAGGTATGGCTCAGGAACTCAACTTATACCTACTTGAAAACTTGACCCGTATAAAATGTACAAAACTTCGTCCTTTTTCATTGTTATATATTTTCAAAAAAAATAGTGCATTAATAGGCAGCCAACGATATGGATATGAATGTGAATACGTAATGGATGCTGCGCCCTACACTTCAGAGGCATTTTGCATCAATCTATTGTAGAGGGGGGGGGGGGCATAAATTTCATTTATTGTGGAATCCATTTAACTGGTCAACAAAACGGTGGGAGTGTCACTTAATGCTTTAAATAAACAGACCGTTGTTTCTGTATTTAATGTTCTATATAAAATAAATCCTAATACAATACAATGTAAATAAATAATTAATTATACTTACGACTGATGTAACATTTATTTGGCTTGGTGTCACATTTACAAATCAGTACATTTTATACAAATATAACTTTTCAACAATGAATGTGGTTTTTATAAATACGTACTTGCAACAAAAAATTATTTGGTAACATATATTCTCTTCAACATTTAACCATAAAGCTAAGGTTAGGCACATATATACATTAAAAATAGTATTGGAATGTAAGATATATTTTTAATCGTTTACTCTCTAAATATTCTCTACATTTATAAACATTTTTCTTAATTCGTTGTAGTAAAATAAAATACGAAATTACTTACAGTCCAATACTAGCAAAAGGGAAATGGACGTATTCTCATTAAGCTTAAAGCACTTAGACTTTAACTTTTTTTTAACCAAACGCATTCATGATCATAATCACTTCCAATTGAATTAAATATTTCATAACGGGTATATATCATGCACAAGGAAGTTACTCACTCAACAACATTACTGTCTACGTTTTAAAAAATTTATATGAAATATTTAATTCAATTTAATTTTTAAAAAACGCAACAGTTTCTCTAACAGTTATTGTATAAAAAATCCTGTTCCATCATCCCAGTCGTCTAAACTGGGACCAAAGGAATCGTTAAAGAATTGATCGATTTCCTTGTACATATGGATCTGAGATTTTCGACTAAACGTATGCTTTTCGTCTGGATAAATCTGCAACAAAATAGTCACAGTTTAATGGAAATGACTTCGATTTTCCTATATCCTTTCTTGCATGCACGTTTGCAACCTGTATGACACTATGTAAGTTCTTGTCCAAGAAATTGTATCAAACGCGACACGTGATTGGTGGAGATTGTATGTGGCAACCTGTATCACGCACTACAAACATTGAGTTGGTAGTACTGTCGCGTAATTGAAGGAATAGCTGATTATGTAAGTTATAATCGTTGTTATTTTTCTACTTATTCTGAATTGTTATTTATTTATTTATCATTATTGTAAATTTCGTGGACAAGGGATCAAGTGTTGATGTTAGTGGCGGTTTATAGGGGACATGACAACTTGTATAATATTGACTCTGCAATAAATAAACATAAGCACGTCATGTAATGTTATTTTGAAGCAGTCGAAAAAGAACTGTCTGGCTTCAGAATTAGCAAAAAAGTTTAATTCTTTGAGGGAAACGTATTTGGCTGAAGTAAAAAAGGTTGTTGCTACCCACAACAGTGGCCCCCTGGTGCCGACGATGTAAGTATTATATTAACATACACAGACAATAAAAGAGCAACCTGTTCTTTCTTGTTCTGGTACCAGTGTAATCCAAGCAAGAATTAATCCAGATGGAAATATAGAAATTTTAGAGAACGAAGGAGCTTCTGAATCGCCAATACTTTCGCCACAATATGTAACTAGAATACATACAATGATTACTTTTTTTATATACATTTAGAAGTAGACATAGGGATTTCCTATTTCTAGTTTTAAATGACAAAAATGCGATTCACATAAGCCATCGTAATCAACTTTCAATTTTAACGGAGGTTATGAAACTGAAAGTTTTAATTTTTGTGGAAAAGAATCTCATAAGAAACTTAAGGGAAATAACGACCGAATTTAATATTTCTTCATCATAACCTTACAGTCGTTTTTATTAAAAAATCTAGAATGACAATACAAAATGCGTGCGTAGGTTATTCCGGTTGTATAAAATTAGGCGTCATTCAGAAGGATTTTTGTCATTTAAAAGTACTTCTAAATGAATAGCACTGTATAGAATAGTCATTGAAAATACTAAGTAATAAAGAGCAATTCGTTTTAGAGCATTTCTGAGCACATTGTCTATCACGCATATTATTCGTGCCCAACTACAAGCCTGGAGGGCACACCGCAAAGCTCTTCTCGCATCCCAAAAAGAAAGGAAAAAGTGTCGAAACTATAAATGAAAGATTCGATTCAATGCCAGATGGTATAACGATCCTAATACAAACCTACAAAAATAGCAAAGAAGTATCTCAAGAGTCCAAGTCAGATGCTTTTGATAATTTCTTTAAATATTGTGTTTTGAAGATGGGAAAAAAATTTATAAATCAAACCAGAGCAAGACATGGTTTAGAACTTTTCTTCAAGGACATCCACAATTAACCGTGAAGCAAGCCGAGTATATCAATAAGGCCAGAGCTAGCATTACACTTGAGAAAATTCGGAATTTAAAAGATCCAACAAGGATCTTTAATATGGGATGAAAGATCTTTTTTTAAAATTTGTTTTAGCAGAACATGGAAAACACGTATATGGTACATCTGCTAACAGCGATAAGGAAAATGTTACTACATAAATCACCGTGAACGCTAAAGGAGAATTCGCCCCACCTTTAACCCCTATAAATTTGACAGACTTCCGGCCAATTACGGAGAATACGTAGCCCCTCTACAAGTGATTTACACAGTATCGGGAGTATATTGAGAAAAATACAACCTCAGCTCGTCTGGAGAAGGTGGAAAAATATCATAAAAGATACAGATCAAGGTCGGACCACGATCGCGTCGGATTTCTGCTTCTCCAACATTCACGGCGTGGGATGACGTCATCTCCTGTGCGCGCTTACCTTCTTTTGTTGAAAGTGCGTTTTTACCAGATTCTGATAGTAAATAATAAAAAAAATTTTAGTACGAGAAAACGAGTTTATTACATGGCGATCCTGCCAATGCTGCCAAACGTTCCAAAAGTACGAAATATCTAGTGTAATAAAATGCAAACATGGGAAATTCCGAAACAAAAAACATTGATTCGACGGGTTAAACGACCGAGCAAACAACGGCTGTAGTAAACTAGTTTTTATGATGTGTGCGCTACTAACGGTCAAGATCTTCGAATTCGCATTGAACAAACGGTACCTACAGCCCAGCAGTCAGCGTGAAAATCAGCATCACCACATGCCATCCCACAGGCTCTCTACACGGCAACCCTCAACTTCCACCTTCAGACGCTCCCGTAACCGGCTCCAGAAAGAACGGCGCTTGATGTCTTCGACGTAATTAACAAGATATGTTAGCTACACTTGAGCCAAGCGAACATTCAGGATACTTAGATTTAGGCAATTGTAATAGTTTAGGTACTTTAGATTTTAGAAACGATGTCGATAGAATTTGAATTAAAAACAGCTACCGCACTGTTACCATTAATGGAAGGTACCGAAAGTTGTACACGCCAATTAATTGATTCTACCAAATTATACAGCGACATGCTCACAAAAAATGGAAATTCATTGTTGGTAAATTACATTTTAAAAACGCCAAAATGCGATTACAGACATCGTACAATACCATTGATTTGCTAATTGAGGACATGATCAAACATTTACTTACTAAAAAAATCCGCGGCATCCCTTTCCAGCGAATTACAGAGGGTTAACCAAAACAGAAAGTCAATAGAGGAATTTGGTAGAAGTGTAGAAGAATTAGTGTTAAATCTTACCATCGCTCAAGCAGGCGTAAATGACGATTCACTTAAGGCTTTATCTAAAGTAATGCTATTAACGCATTTTCAAACGGTTTAAAAGATCCTAATTTAAAAACTATTATTAAGGCTAGAAATTACGAAACTTTAAAAGATGCAATTAGCGGGGCGAAAGATGAGGAATTGAACGACAAAATCGTAAACGCACATGCGACCTCATATCAAATAAGAGGTAACTTTAGACAAAATCGTAGGCCATGTTACCGAGGGCGTCAATACAACGGTAGATACAATGTAGGGAAAAATAAAAATTCATTCGACAACCAGCAAATAGTAGATTCTTATGGACCTATTATCGCCACCTACACGCAACTGCCGTAAACAACCACAAGCACTTAAGTTAAGCAAGACGGACAACAATTTCAACATCATTTTCGCATTGACGTTAATGTGTTTGAGGTGTTGTTACAAAAAATCCACCTTATGCATCAGAAGAGACACATCATATGCTCAGGTCGGCCTGCAATTAGCCTCGAAAAAGGATGGATGGTCATGATATGGTACTTGACCAATATGGAAAGTATAAGGTATACCCATATACATTTCATAATCAGCAGTTCTTAATAGGAGCTTTTGTACTTCAGATCTGTTGCTAGTCGCTTCGCAATAAGTAATTTGACTTGCTGGTTGGTCCTGTACAAAATGTGTGAAATGCTTGTACAGTTAAATTTGGAGCATGGTCTGATCGAGTGGCCATCGCAAAATGCTGCCCAAATCATATCCAATAACTTTCAAAGAAGGTTTGGTATGACAGGTTAGTAATGTTTCAAGAAAGATGCAAATGAATGCTCATTGATTTTAAGGTGTAATTGGTGCCATTGATGGTAGCCATGTTCGGATAAATGCACCAAAGGATCATCATACGTCTTACATTAACAGGAAGGGTCACCACTCTGTATTGCGACAAGGTCTATAGTAGTAAGGTAGGGCCGATTCTAAATATGACCTTGAGCTGTGAAGGTCATTGAGCGTTATGGGTCATTAACCTTATTGTTCGGGGGAATGACCTTTTCTATTTAAAGGTCGTTCACCTTCAAGCCCCTGACCTTTTGATAAAAGGTTATTGACCTCGTTGTCTGTGCTTAAACCCTTTAGCTTAATGGTTTTGATCTCCGCTAATGGAATAGTGGGGCGCAGTAATTATATAGCCCGCTTGTCGTGTATATCAAATAATCATGGCATGGCTAGCGTATGCTGAGCAATCGTGGAGCAAGGCGAGAGATTTTGTAACAGCGGTAGAACGGCTTAAGCAAAAATTTTCGGCGTTAGTATTTGACGCCGAACATGAAGCAATATATGGTAATGGTGAATATAGTGAGCAGGAGTGTCTGGCCATCGCCAAAAAATATGAGTTGGGCGAAGAGATATGTGAGAGTTATTTAAACAGTAAAATATGTGAGAAATGTGTAGTACGTAGATTGATAGAGGCCCAGTTAGAACAATTTATTAGTGAGTTAAGTGACTGGACTGAAAATGAAGAAGAGAGTTACAATTGACGAATCACGGAATGAAGTGTACATAATGGTAGCGTGGTCGTTTGCTTACGGTAAAGCACGAAGAGGTTCGTGGGAAACAGACGCGCTCGATAGATTTCGTTTCCGAAATAAAATCGAACAACTTAGTCGAGTTTTGTCTTCGGTATTAGAGAAAAGGCATCGGGACAAAGTCTATCGTGAACGATTCGCCTCCCCTCCACAACGTCAGCAATATAAGTGTAACTGCAGTAGTGCTTAAAATCATTCCGACACCGTACGCGAACTGGTTAAAATGGATCTTGATACACTGAACAATACCACTTTCTGTAAGCCGTTCAAAAATGTAAAAGACCTGGAGGTGGGGGAGAAATATCGAATCATCGGCATCGACACAATCAACACAAAATATGGTGACCGGGTAGTCGTGGAGACTGGAAACTTTAAATCTGTGCTTCCCTTACGTTTCTACAACTACTTTAAGGAGGATAATCGTTTACAAACATTCAAAGACTCCTTAGCCAATAAAGAGGTTTATATAACAAGTGCTGGATCTGCAGGGCAAACGACTAACTTAAAGTTTATGATGTAAATAAAAGATTTGTGTATTAGAAATGTAAATAAACATGATATATAAAATGGTTTTCATTTCATAAATATACTGTCCATCATAAAAAATACCTCAGTTTCATCGTGATCCTCAAGGTGTGCTGTTCCTATGGACATGGATTCTAAAAATAGCTGCAATAATAACTACCTTACGTGTTCGTTCGTATCAAAGGTCATTCCCCCGGACAATAAAGTTAATGACCTTCACAGCTCAAGGTCATATTTAGAATCGGCCCTACCTTACTACTGTCTATGTACTGCCGATGTGTACACCGGATTTCCTGGATCAGTACATGATTCAACATTTTGGCTAAACCATTTAATGGTATAAGTATTGAAATAAACTCTCCCTTGTTCAGTGAACTAGAAACTTTTTTTGTTAAAATTTACGGCGGGGAAACAAAAAAATTGAACCAGCTTAGAAAGGAGATATTTTGCCACCGGAACCATAACCCAGAGATCATACCTCCCACGCAGAATGCTCTACTGCTACACTACAAAAGGGCTGTGTATCAAACAAGCATATGGGCTTCTGCGAAAAATCCTTTGATTCATGCTCCAGACCCTTCTGATTTTGGCTGGGTGAAATCTCCCGAGGGCAAACTTAGTCCAAAGTGAATATCAATCCCACAAGTTAGTAAAGCGTGCGAAGAGCTTATCAAATGTAACTGTAAGAAGGGTTGCCTTAAAGCATGTAGTTGTAAAAAAGAGAATCTTCCCTGTACTTTGTTATGTAAATGCGTTTGTTTAAAATCTTGATATATCTACATTCTACACAGTAAATTCTTTGGTATATTTTTAATCTGTGTTGTTTTTTTTATATTATGTATTTTATTTGCCTTTTTGATATTTCTTATATTCAAGAGTGTACCAGAGTACATAGGTATTAGGGAATTAGCAATGTTTCACCTGTTGAAAATTGAATAAAGTGTCGGAAATTATACTCGTAGAGCCAATGTATTTTTGCAATATTTGTGGGGTTATTTTACAATTTTTGTTGAAGATAAACATGTTATATACCAATCGATAGGAAATTTTATTTTCTTTAAATTAGGGCTCTTGACATTTTTCCGAAAAAATATTTTCTGAGAAAATTGAGAAAAACTAAAAAATGCACCTTTGGGGATGGTTTTGAGGTAGTTTTTTAAAAGGGATCCCCGGGCCTTCACCCTATCTTTATTTCTAGTTCCCCAATAGTCTTTTTGGGCAAAGGCCAAACTTTAACACGCACGGTAACTCACATTATAGGATTCATACCTACTAAGTGGCCTAAACCAGCTGACGAAAAATGGGTACCAGGCTGAAGAAATCGTAAAAAAAATTTCTGCACCAATTGCTCAGAATGCTAGGGGGATATTTGTTGTTAATATGTAAGTTTATGTAGGCAGTTTGCAAGTTTTTTTATATGTACAGTACGTAGTTTAAAGATCTTGTAATATTTTTACGAAATAAATAACAGTGCGTTCATTCACTAGAATTTGTGACTATTTTGGAATTTTTGCATTTTTTGCGAAAATATAAGGCAAATTTTGTATTTTTTTTAAATAGTCTACTAATTTTTAAATGTTATTTGTTTATAACAATACAAACGTAAGAAAATTTAAAAAAAAATTAAAGCGTGAGGTCCACCCAAACTTAAAATTTGTCTTAACTGTTCATTCATTGGTCGAATGACCCTATGTCGCCTTCAGCTGTTTGTAATGCAGGGTAAAGTGATTCTTGAATTTGGTGTTATTTGCTTTCAATGTAAAGGTTATTCCTATTTTGATTTGTTTGAGATTGACCAGTTATTAATTTTCATTTGATTGTTTTAACTTATGCGTGCCTTTTTTGAGTGTAATTAGCCTTTTCGCCCTTGCAGAGGTATATGCCGAAGTGATAAATATACTAGCGGCATTTATCTCGAACTACAAGTCTAAGGTTACCGTATCCAAGACCTATTGATACATACCGGATTGGAGGAGGTGCGGCTAATTAACGATATATATTTTATGTACTTTGTAAGAAACTTCAGACACTTTCAGACACCTGAGAAAGGATTGAAGCTGCTTTTAAATCTATTTGTGATGGCCATTCTTTAACTTATCAAGTTTTGTTTTGCATTAACGTCAGATTCAATTCATTGTTAATTAATGTACTACATTTCGATTTGCAATTTTTTTGTTTATCAATGTAACATGGAATCTTACGTTTTTCGAGTAATTAAAGTGTACATTTTTATAAATTGCTCAAAAAATTGTACATAATGATTTAAACAAAATTTTCGGATTCGAGTTTTTTTGGTTTTTTTTTGCATTTTCTGAGAAAACTTACCACAGTAATGTATATTTTTTGACACCACCAGAATGTAAATATTTCAATAAACAAAAAGCCAACCGTTCAGTTATAAAATTTAGGCTTTGATAATGGCTGTAAAAATTATAGAGCCGAAACATATACATATGTCAGCCGTAAATAAAAAACTTTTTTGGGAAAGACAGGAGCGATAATCTGAGTATTTATAGGATTCTGTGGCTGCAACCTATAGCCTACACGGACAAAAAAAGAAGGGCTTTATAACAACAAAGCTTATAGTATAAGGTAAATAGGAGGAAAAACCCCTTTTTCCTTTCCCAACTGAAATATTGGAAAATTGTGCGCATTAATAGACTTCAAAAACTACGTGATTTTACAAAAGAATTGTAATCACACATGTTTGCCTTTAAAAAAATCAGTATAACTTTCTTTAAAAAATTTAAATTGTGTGGGAAGATATATTTAAAACAAAAAATCAAGCAGCGTGGCGGTCATTTTTAAATATGGCGAACAAACGACCATGTCACCAATATTTTTTTATACATACATACATACCATTTATACATATATACATACCAAATGCCTAAACAGCACGCCTTGATCTATTAACGCCCTCGCAAATAAAATGGAATGTTGAGGTTTAACTGTGGTATCTGCTGTCCCATGTATCAACATGAAATGTCGATCTCTTAAATTACCCGCCCTTTTAGTTAAATCTGCATTTTCGTAATTGATTAAGTGATCAGAGGGGAGTCCCAAATACTTTTCAGTAAAAAACGAATCTAGAAAGAAAATATTTGAAAACCCTGTTAGCCTGACACATAAGCTTACTGTAATATTGCCAATTTGTAATTGGTGATATGCTGACCGAACAGTTGATTATGTGTTGGAAGTCTTGCATCAGTAGCATTGCTGCAACATATCCACCATAACCTTTACCGACGACACACACTCTAGACCTGTCGATAAATTTAAAGGTATCTTCCAGGTAAGTAAGAACAGCTAATTGATCTTCGACCTCGATTGTGCCAAATCTTTAAGAACGTAGGCGTTAATAATGGCATTTACAAGTTACTTTACGGGTACCTGTGCTGAATCTCCCGTCTCATTCTCTCCCCTTGGTAACCCGATCCTCTCACATCAATTTGAGCAACAACGTAATTTTTTGTACTTGCCAGGTACCAAGGCCAGGACAGCTCCCACTTTTCGGATACAGTCTGCGACCCCGGTTTACAATTTCTAAAAGCTTGAAATGCACCACCAACTTTTCGTATTTAAATGTACATACACAATCAATATCATTGGAAACGCAACCTCCTCATACTCCCTTAAAATCGGCGGAAATATAAGCCGAACTTGAGCTTTGTATCCGGCCTCGATTTCCACTTGAAACTTTTTTATTTGTGGAACAGACAAATCTTTTACTTTATTCCGTAAGCTATGCCCTGAGTCTAGTACTGCTAACCTAATATTTGTGGCAGTTTCAACTAAAAACACTACAGGAATATCTGGTCCCAAACATTCTTGAATATAGTATCCATTTGAATGACTGAATATCACATTATTATATTCACAAACATAACCTACTAACATAGTATTATTAAAAATAGTTTCGTTTAAATTTTCAGATTCTACGTATGACGAATTGAAATCTACGGTTGGGCGACAGGTTAAACAAGTCCATGGCTGAGACGAGTTAGTGTCGCCAATTTTAAAAAGGTGTCGCACACCTGGACTATTTTCGTTTGTTGCGATAGCGAATCTAAAATTAAATGAGTTATCCGAGTGGAAGGATGGTGTTATGATTTACATCAAGTGGTTCTCTTCGTCCCACGATAAAATTTGGGTGAGTTCGAATGCTCCGTGCGTGAGAGGTATAACATAACTGGGTTGTACCTGACACGCGTGCATGTAATTTCCATTGTCACCGTCATTTACTGGTAATCTAATGAGCGCTTGGCCTCCACTTGTCGAAAAAACCGGATGAAATATTGGTTCCGTCCAACCATTAGATTCTTTCTCAATATGAAACTGAAAAAAACGATTACATAAGCGCATACAACAAATAAACTTCATTACATTTGTGCAATTATAGTTGTTATGGGATTTGCACGTTACTATCACCGATGTGTTCTGCTGTCGATTGAGCCATACGATTGACACTTGGTGATCACCAAAAAAGTTGACGCTAGTGATGTATCCACCTGGAAAAACGCTGTTTGTTGGTCGAATTTCGAGTGGAAATAGATATTTTGGTGTACTTAAATTAACTATCCACACTTTGACGTCGGGATTTGGAAGCTCCACCTACAATAACAAATCTTAATTAGGAAAAATCACATATTTAGATAATAAACAATCGATCAGCGCTTTAAGATACCTTGGTAGGTGTTTTAATCGATACATCGAATTTTTTAATCATTTAATGACCGAATTAATTCCAAATAACAAAATATCGACTCAAACCGTTAATCTTTTGTTTTTGCGACATTGTCAACCAACACATGCGAAATTATGGCTTACTAGTAGGCTTGGGACACTTCGCGACCCGAAGGACCAACATTCAAATGAGTATAACTTTTGTTTGAAAAGTTATTTTAAAAAACTGTTCGACAGTTTTGTTCCTTAACTCGTTTAGTATGTACACAACAAATTTCGTGGAATTATCTCTATTTTCGTTGTCCCGCCAAGAATTGCAGTGGAACTTTTTTTTTCGAATTTTCAAAAACTAATTTCAGATTCGTGATTTTCATGTTAAAAAACCCCCAGATACCAAATTTCGTCGAAATCAGAATTTTTTTTGCACCCTAGTTTAGGGGTGCGCCCTTTAGGGGTAGGAATTTTGAAAAAAAAATTGCAAAATCGGAAAGAGCATACCCAAAAACCTATTCAAAGACATGCCACCCGACTTTGTAACTCTTATGGTTGCTGAGAAAAAAATTAAAGAAGAAATGCAGATTTCAACACTCTTTGGGGGGTGGCTCCCAAACGAAACACGTTGGACCCTCGGTTTATTTGGAAAAAGTGCTTGTTTTGATGCCCTCTACAACCCGATTTTTTTTTTTCGAACGGTCGTGTAACACCCTGTATAAACAGGGTGTTTAATTTAAAAACAATAATAATAATGCCTTTATTACATGGGCGAAAAAAAATATGCAATTTGAAATGGTGTAATGAGACGAAGTTCAGTTTCCATCGGACACCTTGTACATGCCAAGTTGAAAAATATTGCTGTGCCCCTTATATTCGGACGCATAAAAAATAAATGTTATGCCCCACGTTGGGCGCCAAAAAGTATTGCTGTATCCCCTTTTTCGGGCGCACAAAAAAATAAATTCTGTGCCCCACGTTGAGCGCCACAAATTATTGCTGTGTGCAATGGTATTACGCCAATCAAATAACACTTACTAGCTCAAAATTACACAAATTAAACCTTGTAACAAACTCCCATCTTCAAATAAACTGTATTTTTAATAACTAAAGAAAAATTGAATATCAGGGTCCAGATAGGTTCTGACATGCTTGAAAAATCTCAACACGGACGTATAAACATCTTCAAGTTCCGCAAATCAGTAGTTCATAAGAAACAACACTATTAAATGTTTACTTATACTGGAAATGACCTAAGAGAAACAAGAGAAATTTTCATGGAACAACAAAAACAAACTTTATCTGGATTTTCTTTACTTTTACTGGAATTCAACTCGACACATAATTTTCTCAGATCGCATACAAAAATAAAATCAACATTTCTACAAAGTTGTCCTGTCAACCGCTGTCAGTCGATCGGTGATGGCAAAGACCAACACATAAATATTGCATACATACCAACAGACATTACCTACAGACATACACCAGTCATTGTAAGTGTTCTCCGTGTTTGGTTTGTTACCTAAATAAATGTTAATTGGTTATCTCTTCCTCACATTCCCACGCTTTATTGAAACATTTTACCCCGTTATAATTTTTTTTAAACCAGCCTGTACAGATGCGATAAACGACAAAAACAAACACTTCTCACAGAATTATTTTAAAATAGAGCACAACCTTGTACACAAACTTGCTTCCTTTTTGTTTAATTGCCAACACTGGTTCCTATTAAAACGACAACGACGTTTACTTGTTGCGAGTTCACAAGGAAGTAATCGCACATTTTATTAACACCAGTACATCAGTTTAAGTACATCGGACAGATGTCGCTGCATAAACCACAGATATAATCTAACACCCCCACTATATCGAAGGTTTCATTTATCTTAAACCTAAATCATTTACAAATTTAACATGCGAAGTAACATTTAAACTTTTTGTAAAAATATCGGCAGTCATATCATGAGTTGGCAAGAAAGTAAGATACACATCTCCGTTTTCCGATCTAAAAACCTTAATTTTATTGTTGGTTTGATTTTCCACCATGCCTTTAAATTCTTTGAATTTCTCCGACTTAGCTTTAAGAAAGTATACAAACGACATTCTGCTGTAGTCATTTTCAAATACTAAAAAATATCTTGATCCACCTATAGATTTGACCTCCATCGGACCACAGACATCAGAATGGATTAAGGTAAACGTACCAGTTATTGGCACTATTAAGAGCATGTAATACTGCACATAATTGTTACTAATCAACATGAAGTTTATGTTCTTCGTGATATTGACCATTGGGTAGCTTTAAGTTTACTATCCTTTTATCAACTTTTGATTAGGCAATTTAAATTGGTATATAAATCGATATTTATTATTTTTTTTAAAAGGCTAAAATTCTAGTTATTGGCACGTAATCACTAGTCCTTGACACCGCAGTAATTGGCATGCCTCATTTAAATGCCTATTATTGGCACCCCCCAGTGACTGGCACGGCAATTTGAAACTTGTAACTCAAAAACGTTATTACGCTTGTATACATTATAAGAAGTAGTTGAAAAGGTAAACATTATTTGACAGGTACTCATCTACTTTTAAACAGCTTGTTTTGTACATGGAATGCACATATAAACCTCATTACTATCATTATAATTATCACTTTTTATTAAACATTTAATATGATATTGCCTTAAACAGTTTATGCATTTTAATGCCACATTTTTTGTAGTGACATTGAAAGTACACGAGTAGCAGACTCCTCGAGTTACCACATATTTATGTTTAATCTCTACTGGAATTTCAGCTTCATCTGGTGAGGTTTGATGCTTCATTTCCAAAATCTCATTATTATCAGTTTTCCTCTCTCGTTGCTCTGATAGTTCTTGTTGCTTAACGTCAGGAGTTTTTAATATTTCTTTATCAGTCTTCTTCTCACTCTTGTCTAGTATTTCACATCGCTTATCCTCTAGAGTTGTAAATAGTTCTTCCTTATCAGTCTTCTTCTCTCGTTTGTCGAATAATCCTTGGTGGCTGGTCTCTTGATTTTTTAATACTTCTTTAATCCCATCTTTAATATCGCTTTTATCTAATACTTCTTGATCTTTGGTTCCTGCAGTTTTTGGTATTTTCATCTCATCTATCTTTTTCTTACTTTTGTCTGATAAAACTGGAATTGCGCCAGTAAAAAGTCGTCTAGCGTATGGTTTTGATTCTTTGCTGCCATTATTGATAGCAATGTTCGAAATTATATTTATCTTAGAAGACTTATTTAAATTTTTGTTCTGTTTTTTTGTTGGATTTTTTGCCTTTGGTTTTGTGTTTTCTTTCTTAGCTAGTCTTTCTTCTTTCCTTTTTTCTTTTTCGGCTTCAAGCTGATCTTTCTCTTTCTTTTGATTTTCAAAAATTTGCTTCCATCCACTGGATGTAATAACATAAGGTAGCTTTGTTTTAGTCTGGTTTTTATTCTTCTTTTTCGGTGTTTCTGGATATGTCAAGAAATTTTTTAGATTCATCCCTCCAATCTCGCTACGCTTGTGGGATACTTCAGAGTTTGTGTTTAAAGAACTAGTGGCCGACTCGCTTTTCTCAAAATTTGCTTGGTCAAGTACCTCAACTATTACATTATTATCCGCACAAAATTGTTGTTCAGGATAAAATATTACCGGTATGTCCGAAATGTTGAATTCAGAGATATTATCCTCATTACATCCGTTTAAACCAGCCGTATTGTAAAGGTAGTTATAAGATTCATTAAAAGTGGTATTATGAACAGAATTTACAGAAGTATTAAAATCATCATCTACATTTAATTCCGGCGTATTAATAAAATTGCGTTCAATGGACGCAGACGTGTTAGAAACAAAATTGGTAGAAAAATCGAAATTTTCTTCTTCATTTGTATTCTGAATAAGATCACCAGAATTGGTCATGGCGGTGTTATAATTCAGGTTTTCACAAACACGAACACACAAATGTTCCTGTACAGTTTCATTTACATTGTCACCACTGTGAGGTTTTTCATTTTCTGTCACGTTGTGTTTAGTTTGGAATGATTTGTATAGTTCATATCTACAACGCTTTCCTTTCTTCTGTCAAATTTTCTTTTCCATCCTGTATAACTGTATAACGTTGATCAGAGACAATAAATTATTACTATTATTATTATATTTTTAAAATCTGTTAACAATTTGCTTCCGATTATTTGAGAAAACTTTTGATAACATATTCCGGTGTTGACTTGATCATTATTAATTAATTCTGGTACATGATCTTCACACTTTGATTTTCCCAGACACTTCCTTTTATCAATGGCGTCTACATTCCATGGATGTAAACCACAAGCTTTAAATCCATTTCTAATTATGTTGGGATTTATTCTATCTACAACCTTCTTTAGAATTGGCGCAAAGTCGAATTTACCAAACTGCTTCATAGGATTGAATCTCCTCTAGCAAAGCATCTTTCCAAGCGCTTTTCACTGGTCTAAATGCTGTTACGTCTGCTGGTTGTAAAATTCTGGTAGCATTGGGGTACAATGCTATTAGTATGATCCCTAATCTAGTACACAATTAGCCCAGGCATTTTAGGTTTTGACCCTACGAAAAATAACGTAAATCTGAAAGTTGGCACAGTTGTTCTATTTGATGCCCTGAACAACATATAAAAAGTCCCAAGAGTTCCCATGTCGGCTTCCTTGAAGTTCGGGCTTTCGAAAGTCCGAACTCTTGAAATCTGCACGACGCCACTATAATTATAGCCTAGCGGACGAACGGAACAAGTCCCAGAGTCGCGGGAGGGCTTAAATTAAAGGTTAGTAACCAGGCTATCTTTTGATATTTTTTGCAAGTGCCAGTGACAACTTCCGGCCAGACAGGAAGTGGAAAAAGACCGCGAAACTTGACAAAAAAATCGGTTTTTGTTTTTTGTTTGGACATAGGTGCGAT